GGACTCATTACCATTGCTGCAAAGACAGTTTAATTTATGAGTCTCTCCCGTGACTTCAGCCCTGATACTACTGCCCACATGAGAGAGCATATTGATTCTATCACTGGTGTTGCTCATTAGAAATGTCATACTTGGTTTTACTTAATCTCTGTCCTGAAATTTGCAGGCAGCATGAAGCATTCATGATTTCTCTGAGACGTGCAATTTCCAGCAAAATGGAGGGTAACACTACTGAGGCTTTTCATCCTCATTTTGCAACTGTTGTTGAAAGCTTAGTTCATGGTGCTTCATTTTTATTTCCATGCTGATTCTGAAAGGAAAAATATCTGGGGGAAAAAAACTATAGAAATCCTATTAGGCATCTTAGATTTACTGAATGTCTGCATTATGAAATGAGTAAACTATAATTACTATGTTTGCAATAAAAATGAGCTTAGAAAGAGCACAGTCTAAACACTGTGTTACATGCTCTGTGTTACAGATGACAAAGAATGGCACAGTGGAATCTGAAGAAGCTAATACCCTAACGCTGGAGGACATTTCTGATGATGATATTGATTTAGACAACACTGAGGTAGATGAGTACTTCTTCCTACAGCCTTTACCAACAAAGAAGCGAAGGGCCCTGCTGCGAGCCTCTGGAGTGAAAAAGATTGATGTGGAGGAAAAACATGAGCTGCGGGCCATCCGCCTATCCAGAGAGGATTGTGGCTGTGACTGCCGAGTATTCTGTGATCCAGAAACTTGTACTTGCAGCCTCGCAGGCATCAAATGCCAGGTAAAGAACTTGATTATATTCATTCTTTAACTAGCAGAGTATAAACGGACATGGGGAGCTGCAATTGTACTGAGGGTAATGAATTACCTAATTGCTGAAATTTGTGGGTCTTAGAAACAGTTTAAAAAAGAAAAAAAAGCCCAACCTGGGTTTTGTTAAGTACAGTTGATGTGCTAGACAAATCTAATCCTTTAAAACTGTTTATCGATTTTTTTTTTATTATGATTTGTAGACACATAGACTCTATAAGTTTTTCTTCTAAGTACAGATAGTCAGTTCCCCACGTTCTTATGTGGACCTTTAACCAAACACTCAGCAGAAATGACAGACGAGTTACGAACCTTTAAGCCTGCAGATTTCACATAGGATATTAGATTAGCTTTTATTTTTAGATATGCATTCCGCCCCCCAGTACAGTTCTTCAATGACTGCAAACTGTACTCATTTAGTCCCATCTTGATGAGAGGATTATGCTCAAATATGAATTGAAGTCCATGCTCAAAGTAAGAAACAGTAAAGGAAGCATGCCTTACTGTCCTTCACTATAACCACATTGTCCTTCATAATAGAATCATAGATATTAGAGTTGAAATGACACTATTATGTCATATAGCTAGTGTCTTTGACAATCAAAAATGTATTCCTTAAAGTATATTTACCAGAGCTTTCACCAGTATAATTTTAAATGTTCCAAACAAAGAGATTTCTACCACTTCCATTTGTATAACTTGGGTTACACCCTAGTTCTCACCATCATGAAGTTTCTCTGAATTTTCCTTTTCATAATTTCTTAATCCAATAATTTATTTCAAATTACATACTCTGTACAACCCTAAACAATTTATTTCCTTTCTTGGAGTTTGCACTCTTTAATATTCATAGACTGTCTATTTTCAGTCCTGCACTGTCAAGGAAATGGACTAGATTACTGTTTCTCAACTCACCTCAACCATCCATGATAGTCCTACACAGCTTCACAGTCTGCCAATCCCCCAAATTTACCTGCCATTCTGCAGTCAAACTAGCCCCAACTTTATAGGCTGTAGTGCTGTGCATCTCCCGAATGGTCCTCTTGCCAGGAAGGCTGCAGAGACAACCAAGCGAGTTCTGTACACAGTAGCTCTGGAATGGAAGCAGCATAGCCACATGTGTGCAGCACTGCACTTGAACGAATAGCTTTGCCTCTCAGCAGAGATGGTATACATACAGTGCCACACTAGGGTAGCACCGCCATTTCCATTTTGGGAATTAATGCACTGAGAGCAGGGGCATAGGAAGAACATTTGGGAGAGTCAGCTGAACACTTCAGCCTTTCTCTCACCCCTGATCTGCTTATGGACTCTACCCATGACATCCCCATGAGACACTAGCTGAGAACTTCTTGACTAGATCACCTTATGTATTTCTACTTTTGCACCACATGTAATTATAGCAGTCAGATTGTAAGTGAAAAACTGTAGAATTTAAGCATCTAACCAGAGTACCTGATTTGGGATCCATTTAGGTATAAGATATCTACATTATATTCTTGCTGCTTGCAGTTCATCATGCTTTCTCTGAAGTCTCTTCTAAAATTCATCCCAGGTTCCAGCTTTAATTTCTTGGTCTCTCTCCCTTAGTGTGCTCTCAAGCTTTATATATTTAATTCTTAATGTATATCTTTCTTCACGAGTCTTCCATGACTGTTAATCATTCTTGTTCCTACTTTGCTTCCCATCCAGTTTACCAGCTTTCTGATAATAAGAGGTCCACAAATGAACACAGCATTTCTGATGTGTTTATAGCAGAGGCATAGAAAGAGAAATTGTTTATTTCTAGTTCCAATGAAGCCTCTGTGTATGAAACCTAAAACTCTACTGGCATTTTTTCCCAGCCATGCCACATTGTTAAACCATGTTTAACTTGCTGCTCTGTATGATTTCACTGTTTTCTAGGGTTCTCCCTCCAAATAAGTATATCTGCTTTGGACTATTTTTTCCCATACATGTTGCACTGTGTGCTTTCCCTGAACGAATAATTTTGTCTTTCGCCATCATTGGTTTCATTGTATGTGTAGTTAACGTGTATTCTTTTTTTTAAAAAGGTGGATCGTATGTCTTTTCCATGTGGTTGCACTAAAGAAGGGTGTAGCAATACAGCAGGTAGAATTGAATTTAACCCCATCCGTGTACGGACTCATTTTCTGCACACAATAATGAAACTTGAATTGGAGAAAAATAGAGAGCAGCAAGTTCCTGCACTAAATGGTTGCCACAGTGAGATAAGTGCTCACACTAGTTCTATGAGCCAAGCACCCCATCCAGTAGAGTATTCAATTGCAGAGAATTTTGAGATTGAAACTGAACCTCAGGCTGCAGTGATGCACCTGCAGTCAGCTGAGGCCTTGGATTGTCCAGGGGAAGAGGAGGAGGAAGAGGATGGAAGCAGCTTTTGTAGCGGAGTTACAGATTCTAGCACACAAAGTTTAGCACCCAGTGAATCAGATGACGATGACGACGAAGAGGAGGAGGAAGATGAAGATGATGATGATGAAGAAGAAGAAAAAGTGGATGATTTTGTAGAAGGCATGGGCTCCCATGCTGGCGTGGTACCACTTCCTTCTGTCCTTTGCTATTCTGATAGCACTGGAGTGCACGAAAACCACTCTAAAAATGCCTCATATTATACTAACTCTTCAACTCTGTATTACCAAATAGAGAACCATGCCCCTGGCACTGCTAACCAGATCAGTGAGACCTACTCAGAAAGGGACACTGTTAAAAATGGTAGTCTTTCTCTGGTGCCTTACAATATGACTTCAGAGCAGTTTGTTGACTATACACGGCAATCAGAGGAAAGTTACAGCAGCCCTCATTACCCTTCTGCAAACCCCTCTGTGATAGTTTGCTGCTCTTCTTCGGAAGCTGATAACAGTATTCCATGTAATAGTTTGTACGCTGAACACAGGCCAAACCACCCTCAAGTGGAATTTCACTCATACTTGAAAAGTCCCTCTCAAGATGGATTTGTTTCAGCCCTGAATGGCGACAGTCATGTACCAGAGCATCCTGCTGAGAATTCTATAAACCTTTCAGAAAAGAACAGATTGCATGAAGAGTGCATCAAATCACCTGTTGTGGAAACAGTACCTGTTTAACATGAAGTTATTCTAGGACTGCATTCCTTTATTTAAATGCACTCTGATTACATTGGATTTCCTAGCACCGTAAGTTTTTTAAGCTGTGGACAATGAAAACTTGGACTATGGGTAATATTCCAGACACCTTTTGTTTTTTTTCTTTCAGGCTACATGGCTGCGGCATTGCACAACAGCAGTTCATGTAAAGTTTCAAAAAGATGGGGGGAAAAACTGTCTTTTGATAGAAAATGCATAAATTAAAAATATATACATATTTCAAAGTAGCCTACCTGTCAAACTGTGTGAAACCTGCCAAGCTATCTGAATCAAAGCTTCATGTTTTTGATTGTCGGGCCTGTGCAAGATTGTTAAAAATGATACTTTGAAATAATCATATTTAGAGTCCTAAATTTTCAACATATCTGACAAAGATGGTGACTTTTTAATGTAGAAGTAATTACTGTATGGAAAAGTTTTAATTGTTCTGTACTGTATGTATTTTATTTATGATAGTTTAGTATTCATGTTTTTGATAAAAATGAACAGCATGTTCATTTGACCTGGAGATCCATAGCTAGTAATACAGAGCATGCCCACTTAAATTTCATCTGGAGTACCATATACATTTTTTATGACCACTCCATGCAACTACTTTTAAAATTTAATCTTGAAGGTACATGGGGTCTCTTTTTACTATTTTTGACAAACAGAAGTGTCAGTAAGGTGGCATTTACATTTTCTATAAAGGTGAAAGGTAGGACAATCCTCTGTTAAAGCTGAAATCAATGGCATCCCACAGCTAACTCCCCATAGAGAAAATTGATGTTGTGTATAAGGACAAAGCAGCAGTTTAAAGTCACCCAGCACCTTTTATCCCTACAAATATTCAGCTTGCTAATGCACTTTAGTGCCATTTTGCAGTACCTTATTAATTGTGGAAACTGGGAACCATTTTGGAGAAATACCATGGCTGCAGATTTTAAGATCTCTGTAATATACAGGCGTCTTAAAACTCATTGTAATGAATATGATACAAGTTTTCCCAAGCCAGTTTATGAATGCCTCAATAAGTAATTAGTAAAGGCAAAGAGCCTAGCTGCTTAGAGAGTAAACAAAGCATGGAAAAGTGTGTGTGCGTGTGTGTGTGTGTGTGTGGAGTGGAAGAGCCCTAGATTTTCCTACCTTTTTAGCTATTGTTATAAAAGAAGAGCCTTATCAGAAGTCCTTCTATGGACTTTTGATCAGATCCTACATGTATAGAATCACTCATGACTATTAATAGACTAAATTTGGTACTAGAAGCTGCATATTCAGTTAAGACCCTGGGTTCAGAAGTTTTATACGTGTGAAAACTGAGGCAAATGCTCATGCATATCCATTATCATGTTTTCATTTCTTTTTCAAAGGGGAATGAGAATTATGCTGTATGCTTTATACCATCCATTAAATTATCATCAAAAGTTGTTTTTTTCTAAAGAACTACTAGAAGCCCATTTTTGGTACATTCATGTAGCTATAGCTAACTGCATTGCCTTATATAAAATGCAGCACAACACTTCAACATCTTGTTTTGATATTGAAGTATCTTTTGTTATATGTCCATTAGTCTAACATGTAGACATACATGGCTGGCTAGTCAAATTACAACACCTGCTTAATTTTTACCAATGTTAAAATGAATTGTTGAGAGAGATACATATAAGCATAGTATACATTTCAACTCTGTTTCACTGACTGTTCAGGTGAGTAGCTCTTTATAAAAGCATGTAGAGTACTCCAGTAGAAAGATTACCATGTTTAAAAGAGGCTCTTTGAAAAAAGAAGTCATGATTTACTGTTGCCTTTATGCTGCTTGTATACAACCATTGTCAATTAATTTTTTACACTAAATTGGCAAAAGCTGTTGATGTATTCCCTATGAGAGAGCATTTTTGTTGTTGTTGATTTGTTCCCATGTTAAATCATGAATGCTTTTATTGGGATTTCTTTGAGATAAATCCTGTTTCTCTAAGAAATACATACATTATATTTATGGCATTCCTATATCCTGGGAAAGGACAGCCCACTTTAACTTATCATCTAAAGCAGCCATTCTGCCATTTTAGAGTTCTGTTCTCTAATTTTTAGTAGCAACCAATTTCCTTTCTCCAAAGGATGTGCAGTCAGGTGTTCTCAGCATTTATGCAGCAAATGGTCATCTTTATTTTTAAAGAGAAACCAATTAAATATGTTTGCTAAAACAAAATACGCAGGCATACAGAAAATATACCTCTGTCCAGAGCTCTCATGATTTTATGGGGCACACATAACTCACTGAGTATGTGTACAGACATCATGAGTTAACAGCAGACAGAAATCCTGGCTCTCCCAACACCAGCACCAAAAGCACAAGCCTCTACTGCTTGAGCTCAAGGAGTAGCTGTAAGGCAGTAGCAGGTTTTTAACCTCAATGTAGGGTGGCCACTAGAGGGGGGTAGACTCATGCACACTTAGCCAGTGGATTGCACTCAGGTGAAAATTAGATGAGAATTTTGCTGTGTTAGTTGTTCTGTTACTGAGCAATAAAAACCTCTTGTCATGACCTCTACATTTCCAGATGAAAAATACCGTCAGTAGTGTTAGCAAGTAAAGCACTAAGATCAATAGTTAAAATATAGCTCAGCTCTAAAATACTGAAATAAGGGTTATTATTTAGTAGTTATACTTCAGTAAGTTTCCAAGACCTTTGTGCTAGATGCTGTATAAACGTAGCTGCTTATTTGCTTATCTGGGAGTGCTCAACTTTTGGCCTGTGGTCCAGATCCAACCCCTGGCACCATGTCACCCATCCTGTGGGGCTCCCCATGGATCTGTGGGGACCCCCACAGGGCTGCAGCCCTGCTTGCTAGATCAGGCAAAGAGGGCAGCACTGGGCCTGATCACAGTGAATGGGGGCCGAGTGAAGGCAGTGCAGGGTCCCCAGAGCTGGATCCCAGCTGGATGGAAGTGATATGGGATCCTCAGAGATGTGTCCCAGGTGGGAGGAGGTAGCACAGGGTCCCAAAGCCTGAACCCAGCACACAGGGGCAGTGCGGGGATAATCTCAGTATGTATGGGAGGCACAGGTCCCAATCTGGCCCATCCCTGTGTTGTTCATCTGGCCTGCAAAGCCAAAACCACAAGCATCACTGTTCTTATGTTTCCTCCTGCTGCTATACTAGAAGTAAACACATTTCCTTCCCTCAGAAGCATACTGCCTAAGATGATAAGCAACCTAAAAAGAAGAGGGAAAGAAGAAAGCACTTCTGTACAATGTTTGCTACAGTATTTTCTCCAGTTGAAGGTAGAGCCAGTTACTAGGAGTCAGTGTCTGGTATAAAGATAGTGAGGGTGTTTTAATTTCCTCTGAATATAGCTGACCAGGCTGTATAGCAACACAGTCCTATTTTTGGTCATTCTTTCTCAAATCTATTGTTTCTTGGCCTAGATGTGATCTCAGGTTTCACTATCATGTTCATTCCTCAGATTTGCATGTTTCTTGCTCAAAGCATAGCATAAGGTCAAAACCTTGCCTACACCTGGAAAGATTCTATGGTCTAACTTATAGTACACAGGTAGGGATTTTTGTGGGTGATACATCTTTTAGTGAACCAACTGCATGGTTGAGATAGATGTAGACAGGTTTGGATTACAATCCATGCTTCTTGGAAAGCTCATCTAAATCTATCCCAACCATGCAGTTGGTCCAATAAAAGATGTCACTGATGAAAATCCGTGCCTCTCACATACTTCCTTAGGCATCATGGGCCCAACATCACTTCAACACTATAATACAGGTAGAAAAAGACCAACAACCCCCATAACGGAGTCAGAGTTGTTACTGGCAAAAGAACTACTTTCCCAAAATAGCTTTAATTGCTTCTCTAACAGAAAAATTATAACTGTCTACACTAGGGCTTTGGGGGCATAGATGTGTCAGTCAGGGAGGAAAAAAAGCACAGTCCAATCCAACATAAATATTTGCTCATATGCTTTGAAGTTTAGATGAGGCTTTAAAAGTTGGAAGTGTGTAATGCTAACTTCCATTTTGTGATCCTTTCATGTTTCATTTGGAAGCAATGATGCCACTGGTTTTAGAAAAACTGGCTACTAGTTTGGGAATCTCTGAGATTGAATGCTTTTCCATCTTCTTGTGGCCCACCTCTACTAATGTGTATGGGGAAAAACAGTATCCTACTGCTTAAGTAACTAAGTGGGTTATTTCCTGTGCAAAGCTAGCCAGTACTGTAACTTTTGTGAAACTTATTTCTGTGTGCTAAAAAGGTTATGTTGTTAAATAACAAATAGCAGTGTATTTCTTCTGTACAGATGTAGCATGTCATATATTGAAAAAAAATCTTTTAATGATCACTATCCAGACCTTGTATGTGCTAAGAAAAACTATACCAGCTTCACATCTAGAAGATACTTGTTGGTGCCTAATAACAGTCATTGATAAATGAAACAAAACAAAACAAAAAAAACAGATCATTTTGAAAGTCAGTTAATAAGTTGGTAAAAAATATTTTTATTGGAAATGTGTCCCTAGTATCCACATGTTCCAGTATTTTTCTACATATGCAACCCTACACCATTTTCTTCTACTAGAACACCATACAGTTTGCATACTGAAAACAGTGCATAGAATTGACTTTACATTTTTTCCCTAAGGAAATAAAGTTTGCCTCTCTTGGAAGACATGTCCTTAAAGCTCACATATGAGGCTTTAGCTAATGTTAGGTGTGCAAATAGCACTTCTCCATTAAAAAATTGTGGTAATTGCATAAAGATATAGCTCATGCCCACTAGAACATTAGAAAAAAGAACTAGCCAACAGAAAAATGCAGCAATTTGATCATTTGTCATTTGTTTTTCATAGAGAATTTCTGATTGTATGCTACCCAGAGCAGGACAGTTAATAATTTAAAACATACTTTTGCTAAAGACTGGCTTTTAAAACTAAATTACTAATTATTTGTTAATTTATCCCATCTTGGGGCAACACCATTTTCTTTCTGCATTAATCTTGGTTAAGTAACCCAACTTTTCATCTGTGATCAGCTAAAAAATCATCTCTGTAGAGACTGTTTGCATTATTGCACAGAAATCTGCTTTTACTGGTAATGTATTATATTCAGTATTCCCACTGATCAGAGTCAAAGTTATAATGTCATTTGAACTAATTTTACAATAATTTAATATTTATGTATCCAGTATTTCTAGTTTTGTTACTCACTGGCATACTACTAGATTTGGTACTGAATACTCAATTGTGACATGCATCACCAAAAGGCTTGAAAAAAACCCTCTTTAACAAAACACTCACCACCTACCTAGGGGGAGAATTTGCCATAAACCAGATCCATTTAGTACAGGTAATTGTAAGCAAAATGGAGAATTTGTTATGGGTTTTAATGCTTAAGCATTTTTCTGTATTAGGCACTAATGGCTTATGCTCTTGACTCAGACTTCGAACACCTGGGTTCTGTTCCTCGCTTTGACATTGGCTTGCTCTGTGATTTGGGTCACTTAACCTGTCTAAGCCTCAGTTTCCCTACCTGTAAAAGGGCACAATTGGTGGTGGTACTAGGGTGGCCACTGACCCCAGAATACAGGCATGCTCTTGGTGAAGGGTGGGCCCCCTTGGCCAATCAGCAGTGAGTTGGTGGGGCCCCTGCCCCTTAGCCAATCAGCAACAATGTTAATTCATGGGTAGGTCCACCAGGCCCTTTAGCCAACCATCAGAAAAGAGCAGGGCCATCACAAAAAGGCCACCTCCCTCCCACCCTGGCTGGGAACCCTGCTCCTCCTAGCTGTGCACTGCCTTAGCTCTAAGCTCAGCCAATAGAATTGCAAGGGCAAGTGATTGACATGTATTTCTGCCAATGAACTGAAAAAGGATTTATTTGCAGACCAGTCTTCACTGAGAAACAGGCAAAGGACAAAGGATTTAAAAACAGGACGGTCTGGCATAAGACAGAACCAATGGCCATCCTAGGTGGTACTCTGCTAGGTAGTACTATGCTTCCAGGGGATTTTTGTTTTGTTTTGTTTTGATTTTGGGTTTTTTTAGGCATCTCTTTTTTTGCAGATAATAAAGTCACTCTCCTGTACTTTTACCACGACTAGATGGCACAGAGCACACCCCTGTGCTGAAGTCTAGCAGGCATGTTGCCACTGACATAGCATAAGAGCAGGAGTCTCTTGCCGGGAGCTAAGCAAACATGAGTAAAAGCCTCAAGCAATAATAAACCCACAGTAAATTTTGAAACCAGGAACTGAAAAAACTGCTAAATATTTAGTAAGTAAATATTTGCTTCTCCATTAGAAGGCAAATTGATGACTTGCCCTACACAGTCTCACAGTGCAGTCAAGGGGCTGCCCTACCCTATCGCATGGCTTCCTCATTTGCCAATATATGTGCAGAAGGGAGAGCAGGCACCACTAAGCCACTGCTTCCTTCTTCCAAGGTAGGCATGAGACATTGTGGGGGTTGGGAAACACCTGCTTTCTGTCTCTCCCCACCAATACACCATCTAGCATATCTTAGCCAGGCAGACAGGCAAATCACTTTGTATGGACCACTTTCTTCCTCTACACCTGAAACAAGGGAGGAACCAGGCCAAAAGTTACAACTGACTCCTGAAGCAATGCAGCTATGCAGCGCTCTCAACCCAGAGCAAGAAGAAAAGAGACAATCTGGCCCACCACAGTGTTTTAAGACGATATGCTGCATAAGTGATGTGGTGGTTTATTGGGAGTACTCTACAGTGCAATGACCTGGACTTGATTCTTGCTCTAATTGTTTCAGTGCTCAGGGCGGAAGGCTGAGTACTATGGGGACAATAAAATGGAGAAATCCTCAGGTCTTAGGAATGTGAAGCTCCCCTGGAGGGGCCAAAGAATAAATAGATCCTGTAGTTTATTGTGCTTACAGATCATTTGATATAAAATATTAATAGTAAAAAGGATAGCATTAACTCAGAGATGCTATATTCTAGAGAATCTATTTCTAAAATATAAAATCTGATTACTATTTTTTTAAAATTAGTAGTAGAAAACTACCATTATTTTCAGAAAAATAGAACAGATAAAAGTAAATATCCCAGTTCCTCAACATATTCCACAGTCAATATGAGGAATTTCAAGATTTGCACCTGTAAAGAAGTTCCCAGAATTCAAGAGCAGTGCACTTTGCTCAGTATTGCTTTTCTCAGTATTTACTGTCTTGGTACTCACTAATAATTCTCTTCTTTCTCCAAGACGTGCACTTCAAAGCAAGAAAATTGTGATGTGAGAAACAAGTGTTCTTTAACTGTAAGGGAATCGGAGTCAATGAAGGTAGTCATAAGTTCTTTGTGGATCACCAAGTATTGTTTTTCCTAGATTTTTACAGCATCCTTTAACTTAATTGCCATTAATGCCCAACAATATTAGCATTAGTGTTACTTGGGAAGGAAGAAGGACTATAAACAACTCTTTCATGAGAGCTGCCTGAGTTCCCTGCCTTCCAAATAACCCACGCTGTAGCATTTATTGCATAAACCTCCAGACCTTTTGACCAAATTTAGTGTTCTAAACCCTTGCTTTTGTTAGCTTATTCTCTGAGAAAAATTTTCTTTGAAATGTGGTTTTCCATTAAGGATGAGATGATATGCTTGTGATAGGGCAGTGCTAGTGCCATGCTTTGTTTTGCTATGGGAATACATTCTCTGGTACTAAGACGTGACTGGGCTAGCAGAACAGGGACTGAATAACACCCTCTTCACCCCCGTCCTGTCTTTCCCTCCCCTCAATGCTCCATTTAAGCCCTACTGGGTGCATCTACGCATCCATTAATGCGGGGTAACCAAGTACTAAATCAATGCACAGTAACTTGCACTACTACGCAGTAGCACCGGCGCATGGGGTTTTTGGATGTTATCGGTGCAGTAGCTTAATATTACTGCACAATAGCATATTAGCAAGGGTTTTGCCTGGCATGCTACTGCGCAGTGTTATTAGGCTACTGTGCACTTAGCGTCTCATGTTGATGCACCCACTGTGGGGATAAAAGGAAATAAATACTCCTGGTTTGATAAAGTTGTCAGAGAAAAAGAGAAACTGAGGATGAGATGGGTGCAAAAACTGATGGCTACAAACTGATGTATATTCAGTTGCCTAATCCCCACATCCAACAAGCAGGCAGGCAAGGGCAGCTGCTGTTTTTCAGGCAGCAGCTTCACTGGCACAGTGTGGCATCCAAACAGCCTGTCTATAAGGTATCTGATTATTAGAAAGGGGATGATTGTATTTTTTCTCACAGTCCTGTGGAGTTCCCTGAGAAAAACTAAGGTATTTTGGCAGTCGGGAGAGGGACAAAGAGACGTATGACACCTCTTGTGACATAAGTGTGAGATAAATCAATAGTGGCTGCCCAGTCGGTGACAGGACTAGCTCTTCTACTCCTCAATATGCCATAACCTAAACATGGGGTAAACATCCAAAATAAGAGAAAACAGGAAATCATTCCTGCAGAGAAGTGTAAAAGTATGTAGGATTTGTTCATTTAAATGGACTATAATCTCAGTTTTATTATTCCAGATTGTTGATGTCGGTAACTGAGAATCCAGTCTTATAAAGTAGAGAAGCCTTGGGTTTAAAAGTAGATGTGTTTTTGTGAAGTGGGATGACTGAAAAAGGGTATTGACTCCTAGAACATGGAGGACCCAGGTGGTGTCTTGGTTCCCAGGAGCACAGAGGCACATCAAGAACCCATGGTGGCTGTGGAGCAGCTCCAGAGATGATGATAAGGTAAATTTATTAGTTCTTTGCTTAATCATTTTTCACTTAAGCATTAGCAATGACAGAGTCTGTCAGACTCTTCATAATGCAGAGTATTTAACAGATGCTTTGGCTGTGTCTTGGAGGAAACAGGTCACCAAAAAAGAAAAAGAAAAAAGGTTGCTGTATGTTTAATGTGTTCTCGACCTTTCTCTTCTGCCTTCAGCAGCCCAAGAAGGCCTGAACAGTTTTTTTGTACTGCCTGAAGGAATAATGGAAAATAAAATGATAAATATGGTTCCAATTTTAACCGTGTACCTAGATAACACATCTTTACAGTTTCTTCTTTTCTATTTTTTTCACGGGGAGAGGGAGATGCGTATCCTCCCGATAGCAAAATTATAAATGGTATAAATAAAAAAAGATATCTAATGGCCATATAAACAGCTAAGGAAAGGCCAACAGCAAGTATTGTAAGCCTTCTTCTCTGGAAACTAACTCATATTAGAATATGACATGGGCTGTGTTAGTTAACATTAACCAAACTAGGCAATCAGTGAAGATAAGAAAAAATTGCATTTAACATCATGCTAGAAGTCTGTGGTTAAACACTACTGGAACCAGGGTGCCCATAGCTAGAGAATACAATGTTAAACATACCTTGCCTCTTGGACTGCAGTCATATTCAACAGCATTTTAGTGGACATAGTTCGTCAGAGTCATGTTTTAACATGACATAATTTTCAGATATTAACAAACCCTAAGAGCTAGGAGGAAAAAGAATGCCAGGGCACTGACTTAGGTTGAGATTTTCAAAGTCCATGCTAGTTGGGCTCCTAATTCCCTTAGAATTCTGTGTCTTAATTTTTTACTGACTTGGATCTGTTTCAGATTGTGAATGAAAGTCGGTTTTTTTCTGGTACGTTTGCGTTTCCTGTGAAATCACATCCACCAGGTAGTTTCTGATATGC